ATCTCATGTAAATCAGTGTAACTGCACACACTTATATGTCTCCCTAGGAACAAAGAGTTCATGTCTGAACACCTGCATGCACAGAAATCAACCATCCAAATATTTGCAACAGGAAATAAATCTGAGACAAATTTGAAGAGACTGAAATTCAAGTCTGATTTGGTCAAAGTATTCATAAATATATTTTCTACAAATCTGCTTCTATTTCACCTATATCTTGTGTAACTCCAGGTATTTATGACTCTCTGTACCAACTGAACTATAGTTTTAGCAAATGCAATTGCACATTTGAAAATGATTCTTACTAAGGCCAGTTGAATCTCATGGCATCTGTAACACTGTCAACCTTTATAGCTGTATAAAGTGTCTCACTGTATCTTGAGCCTTTGGAGGACATATGTAACCTTCAAGCTTCTCATTCTTCCAGTTTTGTACACAACCTCAATGACATCATCCTCCTTTATTGCAATCACTGTCACCATAAGAAGAGTTTGAAACAATGGATATGACAAAGAGCAGTATGTATTTTAAGTAGGAGATTTGTAGATGTATCCAGGCAGAGCAGGAGTAAGAAAGGGTTAGGAAGACGGTGACAGGGAAAAAAAAAGAGAGGACTATTATCAGGAAAGGGTGACTCTGGAATGCACGGGAGTACTTATTTGCCAGCAGAATGAAGACAATGCTGGGGAAGTAGATAGGTAAGAGATGATACTGAAGATCCTTTTTAACTGGTGAATGTAGAAAGTCTTGTCTTTGTCCTCATGATTTCATTTCAAGACAGAGATGGCCCCAAGCAATTTTTTGAATTTTCAAGTTTCACAGTCTGCTCAAAATATTTAATCCCGAGGCTTTTGGAAGTTTTGAGAGCTGTCTTCTACTCAAGAGAAAACAGAAAAAAATGTGCTTTAATTATGCTTAAAGAAAAAACTCTTTACTGATGTTAACAGAATTTGGAAGCACCTTGTAAAAGATGATCTGTCCTGGTTTCTGAGATAAAGGGAAAGAGCATTTTGAGAGACCTCTTTTGTACATGTGGAGGAAAATGGATAACAAATGCATGCATGACACTACTTCAGCACCACATTTGGTACAATATCCTTCCTCCTCTCCCATCAGGAGAGGTTACAGATCCAGCTGACCACAATTGTTTCTCCTGGTGAAGGTCTCAACAGAGGCACTTGTCAGGATGCAAGACCAGAGACAATTTCTGTGATCCATGGGGGGATGAAGTATGATAGACAATAAAAGAAGGAAACGTTTTTCATCGACTCATTTGGTGTTGTGCTACTTCTTTATGAGAATGAGCAATTGTAGTCTAAAGGGCAGTTTCTTTTATATATGGTAATTACATTTATTATTGCACTTAGCTTGGAGTGGATTGATTAGCATGACAACTGATCTGCATCGTTCCCAAAGGAACAGTGGACACAATGCCTTCTGCAATACTCTTATTTTTTGGTTCTTTAACAAAATCTCATTCACCTTTAGCGGTTGTCTCCAATCGACATGCACTATGAAGAAGCCAGATTTACATTAGCTAGAAAAAAACTCAGAAAGTTTACCTGCTTGATCTCAGATAAGCTGAAGAGACTTCTTGGAGCAAATAAAAAAGTAAAAGAAAGAAAGAAAACAAAAAAAAAGAAACATGCAGCCTAATTGTGGGGCTTTCTGCCTTTGGTTGGAAATTCAGATTTGGATTTGGATGAGATTTACTCAGAGACAACTTCTGAATAATTACATTCCAAAGAAAACAGAGAACTGAAAATAAAAGCATTAAATGCTGAAAGGACTTGTGCTGTATGTAGTTTTGTTTTGCCTGCTATCAGTGTACTCAAATGGAAGGTGAGAGTGCAAATGGCTAAAAAACCTTCAGAGACTGAGTTAGCAGCCACTCCTACCTGGAGACATTTGGGAATCAATACATACTGCACCAGCCTTTTTCACAATGTATGGCTCCTGAGTATTGCAAACAGTACTTAAATTGAGCAAGTGGAGCACAACCATTTTCTCTTTACCTGACTGAAAAGTATCACTTTCACTACAATTACAGCATAAAAAAATCCTACAGGCAACAATTAATGAACTCGCTTACTAAGGAATAGTATGAAGAGAACACAATCACATATCCTGAAATGTATATGGTCCCTCATTAAAGACCCTTAGGCAAGCTGTCAATATACAAGAGCTCTGTAAAGGCATTACCTAAGACAGGATTTCTTCATTTCAGTATAGAGACAAGAAATAGCATATAAAGGAAAATGAATGCAATGCATTCATTGCAATGCAAATGAATGGAAATATTAATGTTACCTAGCTCCCACTTAACAAGTATTACTTCTGCCGTATTTAACGCTGTTGGCAACTGTAAACCTATCATATGCTTAAAATTCACAATGAGTGGTCAAAAAAAAAAAGATGCTTTCTAAAGGAAGAGTCTATTGCAGTCAGCCTTGTAAAAGAAACCTTTTAGTGTCAGTGATAATGAAAATTCTTGCTACCTATGGCTGCGTTAAAATGGTGTCATGACCCAGCAATTTCTATTCAGTGCTGTCACATCCATGCACTGCACAGATCAGGATTGTCATCATGTAAATGTAATAGGATTCTTTATCCTGCATTGTTGCTCAGCTGGCAACTGTAATTCTAAGTTTCCTGTAAGTTGTGAATAGCAGCAAGGGGCCATGAATAGCTTGGAAACCTATATTTTTTCCATTTATTGTTTTAAATGCAAATTACACTAGTAAGTCAAAAAAATCACTTTGTTAAAAATACATTCAGAATTAACAAATGCCAAAAAGAAAAGAAAAAAAAAAAGACACATTTGGATTGTATCTCTTGCGTTCTGAATATTTAAGTTTATAACAAAAGCCCAGCCTAGAAAAATAACATTCTTTACTGGATTTTGAGGAGGATACAGCTGTACAAATCAAAATTGTTATCCAGATATTCTCACATTACTGTGCTCTAAACTGCTTCCAGAAGAGATCTGTCCACTAATCATTTAGTTTAGTAGTCAACAGTCCTAATTTCCTTTTAATGGTGGTGTTCTAACTGCAACTTAAGCAAGGTTATGAATATCAACTTCATATAGGCATATATGTATATATATGTGTGTAATCCATGTGTGAGTGTGTGTATATCTACTCTATATGTAATATATGAATAAGCAGTTACCATTGTAATACTTAATCATTAAATGTTCTTCCTATTTTCTAAGCACTTTACAAACATAAACAATTCATAAACCTCACAAAAAACTTGTGAGGCAGATGTTATTCCCTTTGTATAGATGGGAAGACTAAGACAGAGAAATTAAGGCCTTTTTTTTTTTTTTTTTTTTTAATTAAAATTAGGCCCACAAACTATTTGTAGATGCTTCATTAAAATTTCTGACTTCTAAAATTGCTAACTACCTGTAGTTGCCATTCTGTGGGAAATCACTGAAAGGTATGAAAAATTATCTGCTCAAAATTGGATCATCAGTTAAGTGCCTAAACTGGTTTCTTTCCATATTAAGAAAATGATTTTTATAGAAACATGATTTTGATTAACTGCTATACAGGGAAAGCTAAAATACCCTGTTATGACATTTTCATTTCATTTAAACCTCTACATTGTGTTTAATATTATACATCTGCTACATTAAATATTACATAAAACTTTCAAAAATTTTCAGCTTATGGGAAACTTCAGCCTGGCACTTGGGAACTGCACGATTTCCCACGGACTGGAAAGCAGCTCCACCCAGAATGAGCTCAGAATTTCAGGTACCCAAGTCTGAAAAATTGAACTTGAGATCCAAAACAGCATCAAATGTTCTATTGGATCAGGCTTAAGCGACTTGCCTAATTCATGCAGAAAATAATGAACAAGACCTGAAGCTCTGGCCCCATGCACCAGACACTCCCAGGATTATGCAGCCCCTCTCAATAGTTATTCTTGTGGATTATATATTCATACACACACACACACACACGTACATAAATATATATATATATATCTCACTGAATAAATGTAAGTATAGTTCCTGAACGTGTCCCATATCTTATCTTCACTGGTGAATGCTTGTTCCTCTGTCATTGTCCAGAGTGGTGGTTTGTGACACTTTACATCCATGCAGACACGCAAAGGGCATTGGTTTGTATAGGGATGGATGCATGGTGTTTGTGCATGGGCTGTGGGAGCTCAGAAGCCACTTGGGCACCAGGGTTTGGTGAATGAGGAAGTCAGTCATTTGAGGGCAGCTCGAGTGCTTCCATGCACTGACCTTCCCCCTTGCCCTCAAAACCCATGTGGCCACCACAGGTGTGGTAGACGTATGTATTTGCCTGTGCAGGGTCTGAGCAAAGAAACAATGACAATTCAAGATCCTGAAAAGCCTGAGTAAAACATTGGTTTCTCCTAATGAAAGCCACCTAAGTGCTTGAAAATACAGATCAGATTTAGAACAAAACATATGTTCCTAGGAGTTCAGAGTATTTCATATACACATTGACCTACTAGCAAAATTCCCAAAGGCATCTTGTTGCCAACTACGTAACAGCACAGTTTTTTTTCAGCCACAATAATACAGGAAGATAAAATACACATTCTAACACACAACAGATCCCCCAAATATACCACAAAAAGGTCTTCAATATTTCTTCAACTCAGCTAGTCCCTTCCCGCCCTCCCCAACCAAAACCAAAAAATAAAATATATAGATCCCTTATGGTGCGATTAGAAAAAAAAGCTCACTTACAGAGAATTTTCAGTTGAAATTAGATATAAAAGAGTAAACATAGCTAGTACATATTCAGTTGGCCTTTGTTGATAGAAATCTGCAGATGTCTCTGTAGTTAGTAAAAGACATTTAGATATAGCTATAAAAGCACCTAAAGTGCGATAAACAAAATCAGCGGGATTAAGAAGCACTGTTTATGTTGCTTATTTCCAGTAGGTTCAATCATTAGTTTATGTTACCCCTTCGCCCTCCCTGACCCCCCAAAAGATCTTATATCTTTTTTTTTTTTTCTTTTTTTTTTTAATCATTATAAACGGTTTGTTTCTTGACCACTGTGGAGCCTCAAAAGTAAAGCACTTTCTGACAGCTGGCAGTTTTCTACTTGGTCACTCTGGAGCCACGGAGCAACAGAGCCTTATTCCCTGACATGAAAACAAAACAAAACAAAGAAAACTACTGACTTAGAAATCGTTCAGAATTAATGACAGCGTGTTGAGCCTAAAGGACATTACTTCAGAAAGCTTGCACTGAGTTTCTCTGATGTGCAATGCAGTTAGGTTAAGGCAAGTATGAACTGTACAGCCTTCAGGGCAAACAACGTGCTGTCTATTGACTTCTGTTGCAAGGTCATCCCAGTATTCTTAGCCTTGTGTTGACTACAGAGACTGAATGTGGCCAGGAGTGTGGAGGGGACTCCAAAAGCACTGTATTGGCTTGGTTCATGTCTTAATCCAGATGGGCCCCACTGGCGGTTCAGGCTGCAGTCCAGAGGAGCGAGAGGGAAGCACCAGCGCCTCTGCTCTGGCCCTGTGGTGCTGGGAAGCAGGAAGGAGGTCTGGGGCACCTCCTTAGTACCTGTTAGAAAGAGAGGCTGAATGTTTCTGTTGCATTTTGTCTCATTGTTCAATCAGCCTTTTTTTTTTTTTAGCACAAAAACTGGAATTTTTTTGCTCTTTGAAGAACCAGCGGGCAACCCCAAAACATTTTCTTTGACAGGTCCTCCAGCCCATCTTGAGCAGTCCCGTTTTCACTTTGACCTAGGAGAAAGACAGGGAAACAAAGATGCATATAATCCACCAGAAACATTCCTGATTACTGCCCTGCAGTTCTGGTGCCCTTTTGCAAGCCAGTGTAAGCCACTAACCAGTAACAGCTCAGCTGTGCACAGGTAGGAGATGACAGAAAGGAAAAGGTGTTTGCTCAGGTGATCACTTGGTTTCCTTTGGAATACATCCAGAGAAGTCAGCACAGGTTTAGTGAACCATTCAAAATCATACTTCAAGCAGGAGTAATTAGTTATAGTCAGATAGCCAGTGTCAACCTCAACTACTGTGTTTAAACCCAAACTTTCACAATCTGAGGCAGAAAAGATGCTGTTGGTTGCTAGGCAAGACTTTGCTGGTAGTATTGTTGGGAAGGTTCACCCTTTATTGCCATAACACCAACATCTGCCTCTGATGCTGTGAGTCAACATAATAAAATAGGATGCATTGATTTCAGAGCAGCCCTGGTGTGTGTGTGTGTGTGTATACACACATATATGTAGGGATTGTATGTGCATAATTATGTGTTTCTATGTATATATAGTACACATGTATGTGTATATATATGTATATAGATATGTATATATACATAGTACAAGAATTCTCAGACTTCTCAGTACAAGGAAAGCAAGCTTCACTTCAGGGCTAAGCTGCTTTTGAGCAATTTCTCCAGTGCTTTAGGAATCAGCATCAGACATGCATGCTTTTTTTTTTTTTTTTTCCCTTCATTTCTTTTTTTCATGAACAAGCAAGTTTGTCATGAAGAAAGGAAAGAAAAATCTCTTTCCTGTCCCTCCTCTCTATTGTGGTCATGCAGTGCAGTCTTGTTCCACAATAATAACTGTATATTTTTCATGTGCAGCAGAATCATTGCATACAGTGTTTTGTCACCATCCGCGGTCACCTCCCAAGAGCAGAATTCTCTCTTGACAATTGATTTCCATCATCTTATTGTGTTCTCGTCCCATTGTCTGGAGATGAGCACTGGCATCTCCAACACAAAATGCTGGGAAGCTGTTTTTTAGGACATCAGCTGTGGCCACACTGCATGGAGATATATGAGCAGTGGTTCTGTCCCGTTAAAATGCATATTCGTTTTGAAGGGACTGCATAGGCTTCTTGGCTTGCACAGCATAGAGCACACTGTTGGCACTTAAATAATAAAAAAGCCATTTATAACAGGTAGATAATAGTCACAATAAGAAACCTCCCCCAAAACACCATTATTTTATTTAAACAGTATAAATTGATTTTTTCTTTTAAAAAAACAACACTGATTTAAATTAAATGTGAAATTGCAAGAGTTGACATGGAAAGTTTCGATTGGAGTTCAAAGCCTAAAATGTAAAGAAAAGAAACAAGATGAGTCTGAATCTAATAATACTAGGCAACTTATGGAAACTGTAGTCATAAACAGTGGCCTCAATTCGCTATTAGTGCTTCCTTTTTTGTAAATCAAGATTTTTTTTCCCTATCCAATTTATGATAGCTTTGCATAACTGATGAAACTCTATGTGAATATAGTGTGTGTAAACTGAGTTGTAATGCTCTTATTGGGAGAGCTTGACTTAAATCACAAAAGTATTAATTCTTTGATTAAATAACTACTGACAGAACGGAAATGTTAAAAAATGAAGAGTCTGAATAAATAATTATAACTATTTAATTGCACATGTAGGTTTGTGTAAGTTCAGTATAAACTCCAAATTAACAAAATGAAGTGCTAACTGTAGCACAACAGGAGAAAGTTCTGGTTGCAAAACAGTGTGTCTTAACAGTTAGCAATTACTAAACACAGCATTCCTTCAGGATAATAATTAAACTGTGCATGTGTAAAACACTTCAAATTGATTTAAATCACTTGGATGTAAATCAGTCTGGCTTGAATTGAGACAAAAGTTTGTGTTGATGGAATTCTGTCATCATAATCTGCTAAATCAATTCATGTCTGCAAGCAGTATGGGGATAACAACTGACAGCTACCGCACAATTATAAACACCTTTGTATTGTTTCTGCATATGAAATGGTTTAGTAAATAATGAAGGATGTTTTTATACTTATTACTGAAATACATGTTAAAATTTGCATTTTGTCAGAACCTCATCATCATTACAAGCTGATATTCTTCTGGTGAGTCTTCCAAAGCTGAGGTTATTTTTTCTCTTTCATTTCTATCACATGCCTGACATGCTAGCCAATACGTACTACTACACTACATATTAAAAAAAAAAAGAAGTGTTACATAAGTGCTTTTGACAGTAGCCAGAATATGTAAAATAAACCATCTATCTCTGATTTCTCTTCACTAGTTGCACTCACTGTGAGCCTGGACAGTAAGGCACATAAAGGAGGCAACAAGTTGCCTTTACGTTATCTTGGTCTCTTGCAGGAATTGAGATAAAGTTTAATATATTCTCTGCTGTCTGTGGATTCAACAATCTTTTCTAGCAGTTGATAAAATCATGGAAATTGTTATGTGTACATTGCTATGTGGATATATATGGGAATAGTTGTATCCTGAATACGATTATATTCTTATGACTTCATGAGAGCACAGCAGCAGCATACGTAAAGCAGAGGTCTTCCCTATTCTGTCTTCTGCTTTTCTGTATCGAATTATTCTTATCTTACTCATTTCCAAGGAATGCTGAGCACTGTGAGGTGCAGGTGACTTCACCTAGAGAGTAAGGTCTTCTACATTTTTTTCTTCTCCTTGAATACTACAGAGATTAATGCTAATATTCTTTGGTGGTCAACATCCATAAGAATCCCTAAGAAACCCAATCCTTCCTCCCAACAAATAACACTTTAAAACATTTTCTATAGCCTGCTGTTATCATATCAGTTTGTTTTGACTTCCAGTATATATTATTGCTGTAAATAGTGCTGCAAGCAGATCAAACGATGTCTTGATTAATTTGACATTCAAATTTGTCACTCAACTGCCTAATGGCCTCCTACATTTACGGAGCAAATGCAGTGCAAATACATATGCATGCACTCCTAGCATGCCTCAGTTGTAAACAACAAAAAGGTATTCCTAAATGCAGTAAAAGCTTCTTAAGAACAGGCTGCAGCAATTCTAGAGGACCTTGTCAAATACTATATAGTCAGAGGGAAACATGAAGTGTCTTTGTTTGACTGCTGCTGGGACATGGCAATACTTTTGTGGGTTGATTGGACAAAATGTCAACTTACATACTGATTTCTGTCTCTCAGTTAAGACATCAAAATCACCTACGCTACAGCAAGAATGCAGATTGAAATAAGGCAGAACATAGTTTACATGGATTCATCATACATCTCTATCTCAGCTAAAAGTGTAAAAATATGACCTTCTTTTTCAGTTGGTCTAGTTTTCTTTCCTGTCAGTATGAAGATGCTAGTAAATGTAATCTGCTGTTCTGGAAGAAACACTGAGAGCATAAAGAGAATGGGATAATATCTCAGCTAGAGGGCTCCATATGTTGATGCAAGCTATGGTATACTGAGAAAGAAATAGGATTAGAATTGTTCTAAGCACCTATGAGCCCCACATAATACTAGGAAGGAAATAACATTTTCTAAATGCACAGCACTGTGCCAAAAATGCAGGTGAAAAATCTTCACTTGAGCACAGACAGATGGAAAGCTGAAGTTAAGATGGCATTGGAGATACGTACTATTGTAATTTGAGATTATTAAAAAGCTCCTAGCAAAGCTCCCATAGGGCCCAATCCTAAGCACTATCGCAGAATTGACTGTACTGCTGATAAAGGAATAAATGCCAGTTCCATGCATAAAGCTACTAAACCGCCAGCAGACTTAGTCCACTAATCACAAGAAATGAAATTATATTTAAGGGTGTAGGGAGTGTGTGTTTTCCTGTATTTAGGTTTTTTTCCTCAAAAGAAATGGTCAAAAGAGTAACAAAGGAAAAAATTAAATGCTACTCCCTTGTGAGCTGTTGCTTACTATACTTTTGTCACGTCGGCTGGTGATGGTAAATAAAACAGAATTCAAAAGGCTGCAGCAGTGAGGTACAATTTATCTAGGCAGTCAGGGCTGTTTTGAATTGCAGTGAGCATCCAGAAATATTTGGAGATTATTATTTCTGGCTTGGTCTATGGCTGTGTGTAAGTTCCAGTGTGAATGCTCTCCAGTTGAGTCTGTGAGCTGAGATTTATGTATTTGGCTGTACTTCTAGGCAGGATGGAGTTCTCACTCTTGCTGGACAGATAAAAAACCACTTTCTATTCAATCTATTTTTAAAAACAGTATGTTGCTATTTTTTTCTTTCATTATTATAAGTTAATGTAGAGACTGGAAATGAGGCACAGACGTGCTTCAGTGAACAGATATCTGTATTAGTAGAGACTAATACTGAATGCGTCCATTTTTGACATCCAAGTTTTGTCAGCTGACTAGTTCCTACTAAATGAAATTTGTACTGCCTTGGAGTGGAATCTGCATGAATGGAAATGAGGTAAAATCAGGTGAGAGCTCAGTGTTATTTAAACAACAGTGACACTTTGTATCCTGCATAAGAAATCATTATCATCCAGCAGAAGAGTAATGCTGGTGCTTAAGTGTAGCTTGAATTCAGTTGAGCAAAAAGGCTTCTGCCTATTCTGAATTTTTAAGTGATGTCATCTTTCACTTTAATGATCCTTTAATATCAGCCTGCCACCGCAGAACATCTCAGAAGTTGAGTACTTACATATACATGGGCTGTAGCTGTAAATGAGATGTCTTCTGTGGGCCTTGATAGCCGTAAGAGTCAAATCCACCTATGAAATCAACTGAAAAAGAAGCAAATTGCCTTCATTAGAAACATCTTTTCAGAAGTGATAGGCATTATCATTCAAGAGCTACCCGGCACAGATTATTTTTGACGGACCCCCTAATAATCTGTTAAAACAAGAACAGCTAATTGTGGTGATGCATAAAATGGGTGAAAAAAAAAGGATAAAGGAAAAGCTCCTTCTTTATCTTTTAAATGAAAATAAATTTTAAATCACAGAAAGACAATAAGCAATAAAATCATCTGTCTGTCAGGAAGAGCCACATATCACTCTTTTTCATGTGGGCCACCTGACTGGAGTACAAAGCAACATGCTATTCAAACATTACAAATGCTGCAAACCATTTATTTGTTAGTGAGAATACATTGCTTCTGACTGTGATTACTGTCTGCCTTGCTGACATACTGTGGTTTAGTGATGTAAAGGAGAAAGCACATTGATCTGACTCTCAGACACAGAAGTTTCCCTGATTCCCTCCTTTGACATTTGGGTTGCAATGCACAGAGGGTTGGAACAATTTATCTGAGCTTCAGAGATGAGACAGATCTAAGGGAAGCAGCATTTCTCTTGAGGCACTGGAGGTCTGTAGGAAGGTTGCAGGGTGGGTGTTTTTTTATTAATTCACAACACTCACAGTTCCCAATGGTCTTCTCATGTTTATTTTAAACAATTTCCAGGGCAACTCAATCTCATCTGTCTCTGAAACTCCTGTTTCTCTAATTTAACACTCTTTTTACACAGGTAAGCGCACACCCTTTGCTTCTTTTGCACCAAGGGATCTGACTGTTGGCTTTTCAGGTTTATTTGTGGGCACCTCTTGTTCCTGACATATTGTCTCTCACACACAGATGTGAAATTGACCTTACTTTGAAAGAAAACGGAGAATGAGTTCAGATATAGAAGTGCATTCTTCATAAGTCTGTACAGTGCTACTGACAGACAGGCTTTGTGTACATTAAAACACAATAGCAACAGAAAAAGTAATAACATTTTGACAGAAGATGCCTTATTGTGGATATAAACACAGTAACATTCCCACAAAAATCACAAAATGTAGATTTATAATTATTGGTTTGAGAACTTTCACAGTGGTTAATGTCCTTATGTCCTTAAAGCTTGCATTTGTGAGATTTTTTTTTTTTTTTTTAAATTAAGATACCCCTCAATATTTACCAAACTTAACAGTGCCTTTACATGCACTCCAAGTGTTACAACATCATATTCTTGAGATCCTCTGTCCACCATCTAGCTTGTAAGCAAAAAGCCACCAACACTCTATGTTGGAGCACTACTGTTTGTCTCCATTGCAACCATGGGCATGTTGAACTTCTCATCCACCTTCTTTCATGGCCAGAATGACCCTGAAGAAGTCACTTATCCAATTCTGTGCCCTGTGGCAGGATTAAATATATCCCATCTCAGAATGATGTTTAACTAAATTAATCTTTGATACTGGTCGTGAAGAAGATTCTATAGTCTCTCTGTGTTGCCTTTCCATGTGCCTGACTTCCTAATGTCTAATTTAAATTTAATTTCCTACAAATTAACTACTTTTCTACTTTTTGGTCTTCTCTTCCAAAGGATATGAAGAAAAATGAGCCTTTTTTTTTTTTTTTTTCCCTTTTATGACTATTTTAAAGTTTTTTTATAGATACGATTTCCTTTTTTTTTTCTTTTTCTTTTTTATTTCTTTTTCCTTTTATTTCTTTTCCTTGCTCCTCTTTCTCTTTTTTTTTTCTCCTTTTTTTTTTTTTTTTTTTTTTCCCAAAGGCATTAGACTCATGCTAAATAATCAGATCTTTATTTGTCTATTTTGACACTAAGCGTAGTCTATCCAGGTGGTCTTTTGTCTGAAGAGTTCAGATTGATCACACCCCACAGGAGTTCTTTTACACTTGTCTGTATTGAATTTCATCTTTTTCAGTCCACTTCTCAAGCTTATTCTGGGTACTAATCCCAACCTTGCAAGTGCTCCAAACCCCTCCAGTTTAGTTTTATCTGAAATTTTTGTAAACGTTTTCTCCTCTATCATCCTTGCTGTTAATAAAAACAATGAAGATCATTATCTTACTAGCCAAAGTCCCACTAGGATCCCATCTGAAATGTCATCCCAGCTGGTTGATAACTAAATTTCAAACAGAGTTTTAAACAATTTTGAAGCAAATAGACTGCATCTGGACAGTGTTTCACTGGCTTACTTGCAAACATCTCAAAGGGTGAAAATCTTGCTAAAATCAAGATAAGTACCATTTGTTGCTTCCCACTTATTCACTGCCTGTAACAATCAGAAAAACTGTATTACAACTTGATTGTATGTTTGGAAGCACACCACGTTAATAGGAAGAGAATGAAGAATTTACTATGAACGTTATTTAGTGAAATACTAAGTTGGAGGAATTGAAAAAAACCTCAAACATAATGAATGCAGCAAAACGAATGGACACATCTTTGCTGTAATTTTTTTTTTTGTTCGTTTGCTTGTTTTTGCTTTGTTTTGTTTTGTATTGTTTTTTGTTTTTCTCACTCTTGACTTTTGACAAGACGTACATTTGAATGAGTATCCCACTGGTGTCAATTCATGTAATTTATCTGATATGGCTTATATGGAATTGTCCGGCTTTGCATTTTTTGTCATCTTCTCAAGACCCTCCACGTAACCAGTAAATCATTATTAAAAGGCTGCAGGCATTGATGTTCTGTTTTACAATCATGGCATAAAAGGTCTCAAGGGTGCCTTTAGGGTTGTTTTCAGAAAGGAAGAATGAAACAGTGTGCTAAAAAAAAAGGATTTCTCTAAGTAAAACAAGTTTGTGTGGGCATGAGAGAAAGATGCATGCTGAATATCTCTATGTGCATTCATCTTTGTCCTGCTGCACAAAGTAAACACAAAGTGTTACTACATCAGATTGTTAGGCGACAAGACAAGCTCATATGGCTGTGTTAGGCTGATAGCAGAAGCTCCCATGTGTGCAACCAAATGATCATAGAATCACCAAAGTTAGAAAAGATCTCCAACATTTCCAGTCCAACCACTCACCTACCACCAATATTTTCTCACTGAACCATGTCCCCTTAGTAACACACATGACTGCACCATCTCCCTAGGAAGCCCATTCCAGCACCTGACCACTCTTGATAAGGAGAGGGCAGAAGATACTTCTGAGACCTTTTTGAGACATGTACAATATACATGTACAATGCAACAACAAACATGGCTAGGTATGTAAATGTAAGTAATAGGAGGAGAATTTCAATGCAAAGAATTTCAGTAATTTCTTTGTAGCAAGTTTGATTCATGGCAGTAGCTTCTCAGTTAGCCTTGCAAAGCCTGCAGTGTCCAGACTGCACTAAAAGCTCCCCGTGGACTCTGAGGTAGTTTCTTAAAACATGCAAAATGCTGCCCTTTCTGCAGGCATTTTATCCTTGCTGTGCCTGAAAGGTCACTAAAAGTGTCGTTCGACTGATACATTCCTGGCAGCAGTAACATGAGATGAATAAAACAAGGCTCATTAGCTGAATCACTACAGAGGCTTCCATCCTTAACCTTATCCATCAAACACGTTTTTTTGACTATTCTATTTTACATTCATCTTACTTGTCACTGTTATCAGAAGTGTCTCTTTTGTCATGTTTTGCTCTAGTAAAAGCATGCGTGTATACAAACAAACACAGAATCCCATTCACTTGAACTATTGGGTACTGAGATGCTTATTTTCTTAGCTGGATTTAAATAGTATAATAACAGTCCTATTTATTTGTAAAAAATGTTACAAAAAATATGGCTGAGTTTTTTCTTCCTTTGCTGGTACTATGGGCCTTGTCAGGCATGAGATGGCGGTTGTAACTGTAATACAAAAAAAACATTAGCTTCAACATAGGGATATATTTTCTATTGTTTTCTAGAGGTATTTTCCTTCATTTCTGCAGAAGATTTTTCCCATCTTGTATTCTGTCCCTTGCAGGCAGCTGAAATCAAAGTCAGATTGTCCCTTCTTACCCAGATCCGGGTGCTCATAGTATTCTCTGTGGTCACCCAGCTGCCTTTCATATGACCACTGATTTGTATTTTTTTTTTTTTTTTTTTAAACCTTTGCGTCACAGAGAAATGGGTTTGTGCTCACTTTCCTCACACAGAATCACTGAATCACAGAATTGCAGGGGTTGGAAGGCACCTCAAGAACTCACCAAGTCCAGCATCCCTGCTAAAGCAGGTACCCTACAATAGGTTGCACAGGTAGGCTTCCAGATTGGTCTGGAATATCTCTGTAGGAGACTCCACAACCTCTCTGGGCAACCTACTCCAGTGCTCTGTCACCCTTACTAAAAAGTTCTTCCACATGTTTGTATGGAACTTCCTATACTCAAGTTTTAACCCATTGCTCCTTGTCCTGTACCAGATTGCTGGTTCCCTGGATCATCCTATCTACTCATCTTAAAAATAGGAGTGACTTCATCTTTTTTTCCAGTCTGCAGGGCACCTGACTGCCATGACTATTCAAATATCATTGAGAGTGGTTTGGCTTCTATACAAAACCAAATCTCACCTTTCCTCTGTGATATTTATCCACGCATAATTAAACACCACTTCCAGTTCAGCATGGCTAACACCAGCACTCTCAGTCTCTACTCCCTGTGAGCGATGGCACAGCTCTGCCTGTCATTTGGGGTTACAAGTTAGATGTCAGCTTTGGTTTGGTTTGTATATGATTTAATTTCTGATGATTATTTTTGCATATTGAAGAGGAAGACTTTTCTGTCTGTTGACACAGCTAAAACATTTACCCAGGGCTCTTGGTGTCAAACATCATTACTGTTCCTTTTCTGAACTCCCCAAATGTTGAGTTAAGGAACCAAAAGGGCAGGGCTTTGGCTATGACGCTCCTTTCTGCATCCTGCTACTGATTACATCTTCCATATCACATCAAATAGAAGCTAAATCTTTCTACACTTAAAGCCTTCTGTAGGGACTCCACACCAGTCTTTCCTTCTTCAATTTT